AATTAGGAGATATAAAGTCATAATTCTGACTTTTAGTCATCATTTTTACTTTAAACGTCATAATTATGAGATATAAAGTGATAATTATAAGATATTTGATTTTCAAACTTTGTATTTCATAATTATTACTTTTTTACTCAAAATTATGATTTTGAAACTGTAAACTATCACTTTAAATCTAATAATTATGACTTTCTATTTGGCAGTTTTTTTATTTTTCATGTGGCAGAAACAGGCTTCCATAGAAAACGGTTCCTTCTGAAAATGTCTTCATTTTCTACAGCAGAATGTCGTTATTTTACTGCATGATGCTCTGTTAATTCATCTCTGTTCTCCTCAGACATGAATGAGCACAGCTCCCGGAGTCACAGCATCTTCCTCATCAACATCAAGCAGGAAAACACTCAGACGGAGCAGAAACTGACTGGAAAGCTGTACCTGGTTGATCTGGCCGGGAGTGAAAAGGCAGGAAAGCTTCTTCCTCTGCTCCTTTTTCAATAAGCTAACAGTGTTGTAAGGCTCCAGGAAAGTGCTGATATGCTTCTGGACGTTGTCATAAAAAGATTGTTTTCGATAATGAAGCTTTTATTCAAAGGTTGGAAAAACCGGAGCAGAGGGCACAGTTCTAGACGAAGCAAAGATGATCAACAAGTCTCTGTCATCGTTGGGAAACGTCATCTCTGCCCTGGCCGAGGGCTCGGTGAGGCATTAAAAACATGCTTCCTCCATCCTTCACACATTGTTTAATTCCTGGAGCAGCTGTCAGGCTCAGCATCCGACAGCTTTTCCTTCAGGATTGTCCTAAATTCTCCTCCTTCTTTCAACTCTAGCCTTCTGGTTCCTGATAAATGAATGTGGATTATTTAAGGAGATGTAAACATTTAGTTTTCCTCACCATGTAGTTTGCATTGGGGTCAAAATGTTCAGTTTTTGTCTAATCTGACCAGATCACCCACTTCCACTTATTTGCATAATATCAACCATAAAAAGCAGATTTCTTGAGCTCGTCAGATTCTTCCAGCTGAGCTGTGGAGCTCCTCCAAAGTTACCATGAGCCTCCACCTGCTCAGTTTAATTATTTATCTTTATTTTATACAGCTTGGCATAAAATGGATTTGGTTTTTTACAGTCATGTCATATTCTCCGTATCTAGCTAATGAAATAAGAGAACTCTTTGTTTTTGGAGGATTAGGACAAAATGAAGTAAAGATAGCATGAAATAAATTGGTGTAAATGTACCAAAAAATAATGAAATGTTGAATAAAATAAATAAATGTACATTTGTTTATTTAATTCATCCTTAAACAATCAAATATTATACAAACAATTAACCATTAGACAATAAATGTGCCAATAAATAATAAAGAATATCTTCCAATGTAAGACAAACGGTTCAGGATGGCTTTTTTTTAACAAATTTGATACGTACATTTTATCACTGCTGCACTTTAAAAATGGAAATGTCTTGAGAGCTGTACTGAAGGATATTTCTGAATAAAAAATGACGATAAAGTCTAAGTTTATTTTGAACAAAACTCAGCGAGCGTCTGATCGTCAGCAGGGAGGGTAACCGGATTCACTGCAGAGGTAGAAAACACAGGTTAGTGACTGGAATGTCGGGTTAACCATGACTAGGAGCAAAAAGTCACTGTTCAAAGTCCAATCCAATCCCAGATGAAAGGGAGATTGTCCACTGTTTGCAGCCGTAGCCGCTTCCAGCTCCCGGAGTGATGATTAGCTGACATGAACTGACGCTGAGGGAACAACAATGTCNTTGTCCACTGTTTGCAGCCGTAGCCGCTTCCAGCTCCCGGAGTGATGATTAGCTGACATGAACTGACGCTGAGGGAACAACAATGTCCGTGAGGAGAATCGAAGCAGAAGTCTGTGAAATATTCCAGGTTCGGTAACCTGCAGGATCCAGGAAAACAGTGCAAAAACCACAGCAGACAGAGCAGACAAGGGCAAGGCAAAAAATCTAAATTACTTGATGGCTAAAGTTAGTCTCACAACGGCTCGAATAATCGGGCACTGGCGGCTGGAAACAGGTGGATCAGATTAGCGTTAATGAGGAACCGGGCAGAGCTAAACAGGTGAAGAATGAGAGCAATCAAGCCAAACGACGAGGTCCACCCTTTTGGAATGAAGGTCGTTTGGGTTATTTTGTTAGACTGCAATACGCCATACCTGTCTATGTCTCTGAAAGGAAGGGGGGGGGGGTCGTTAGAGGGAATTGTTGGTTCGAAAACCTTCAATGCAGCAACTGAGTTAATCCCTTCAACAAAAGAAGCCAAACGACCTCTTCATCCGTTCCAATTGGCATGTTTTCTAAACAAAAATAAGTCTTTGTTGGGCTACTGTTTAAAACCTCGAACTCGCCGCTATTCCGGACATTTTAATTAGCAAAAGATTCCTAGATGGGAAGAGAAACGTCTTCAAACCTGGAAACAAACTCCAGTGGATTGTTTTTAATTTAATTTTTTTTCTTTCAAGCAAACGTCATCAATTCATCACATGGAAGAAATTTTTATCTAATAAAAAATTGACACCTCTCTGTAAGAGAATGAATTATTTACATCCCTAACATATAGACACATGTATACATAAGTAGAATGTAAAACAGCATGACCAGTTAATATCACTAAAGTGTTACAAAGAGGAGTTCCATCAGTAAGGAAACACCAGTTTGTCACGTTTGGTTCTGAAAGGACAGACGTTTCGTCCACTTTTAAAGCCCAGCAGGTATACCTGCTTATGTTTCTGTTCTCGACCAGAGCTATGTGCCGTACAGAGACAGCAAGATGACCCGGATCCTGCAGGACTCCCTGGGAGGAAACTGTCGGACGACCATGATCATCTGCTGCTCACCTTCTTCTTTTAACGACGCGGAGACCAGGACGACTCTGCTCTTTGGACAGAGGTACAAATACGAGCACTGTCTTGTTATTTTAAGCAGATGA